GGAAGGGGGTTAGGGTCGCATCCTCATTACCCCCAACATTTTCATTTTTACCCCATTTGGGGTAATTTACCCGTTCCCTGACCACTACATCAGGTTACAGTAGGGCTGAAATGGGAAGTCTTGGTTTTGTGGAGACCCTGGCTTCTTTTAGCATTCCTTTGACTGAATTGTTTCCAGTTCCACTATAAGGGAATGTTCTATCATCAAGATCAAGGTTCCCACTAAGCTGGGCATGTGTGCACATCCTCACAACTCCACTTCCCTCTGCACAGCTGTCTTCGTTCTCTGCGCAATTATCACATTAGGTTCCGGTTTGATGGAACCCAGCGTGCGGAGGGCAGAGTCATGTATGTACGTAGGGGTGAAACCACGTGAGATAGAGGCAGAGCCCTGCCCAGTGGGGCTTAAAATTAGAGGGTACATTTATCAAGATGTAGAGTCTCCACGAGTTTGATTTTTTTCCTCTGCAATCCTATTCCCTTTTCTTTTTATGTCTTTTTTAAATAAATGGTTCTCAATTTTATTTACTAAGAAACCTCTTTAAAGGTAGCCTTTCGCGGCAAGTTCACATTGCTAACAGCTAGGATAAAGGTGATAGAGATTTAAATGTAATTAATCTAGGTTTGTGCTATTACATCACTACTTTTCTCATAGTTTCTGTTCTTGCTCTTTGTGTAGGCCAACATAGGTCAGGCATCCTTGTCTCTTAGCAGAACCACAGGCTGTCAGACAGACCAGAAGCAAATATTGCAGTTCATTACATAGCTTCAAATGTTACTATTTTAAAAAAAAGTTGCTAGTTTTTTTCCCCAACAATTCATTAACATTACTCACTGCTTTGGGGAGATTAGGAGAGCACATTCCTAATACATTCCTTTTTCTCACTTAAAAATTGCAATTAAAATAGAACAAACTCCCTGAAAATGATCCACAAAAAGCAATTGTGCAAAAAGCAAAAGTGTAACACCTACATATGACTGGAACTACACTTTATCCTAGAAAAAATTAACATTACCAATTATATACAGTGGTGCCTCGCTTAGCGATCGCTCCGTTGAGCAATGAAATTGCTTAGCGATGGGGTTTTGGCCATCGCCAGAGCAATCGCTTAGCGATGGCCCCTATGGGGAAAAATCGCTTGGCGATGATCGCGGGGAAGCGATCATCGCAAAGCCCCCATTTTCTGCCAGCTGATCGGCGGTTCCGAAATGGCGGCCAGAAAAACAAAATGGCTGCCCCCTGTTTTGCCTTGCTTTAGAGGCACCGAAAATGGCCGCCCCTATGGAGGATCTTTGCATAAGGTCAGTTTTGAAGCCCATAGGAAAACATTAAACATGTTTTATGCGTTTCTATGGGCTTTTTTATTGTTTAGCGATGAAATCGCTTAGCAACGTTTTTCCTGGAATGGATTAACGTCGCTAAGTGAGGCACCACTGTATTGAGGTTTTTTAACATAATCTTATGTCCTTGTTAACCCCTAAAAGTAATATGTAACTGACAACATCATAACATGTTACTTCCAAGTGCTCAGTAAAGGTTGGTTAAGACTCTAGAAAGTATCAGGTGAAGATTAAAGGACATGTAACACAGCCCAGGATAAGAAAGCTATAAAGTTCCAGAGCCAAAAATGAAAGGTCTATGGAACAGACAGGGGCAAGTAACATAATGGAAGACAAGTAAACAAGGCAGTGGGTTTTAAATGGCAGAAGTACAGGAGGAAAGAACAATACTTTTACAAGGAAAGGCCGTTCTCATGAGATACATTTGTTAGACTGAGGAGCCAAATCTGAGTTTCATTGCATTAAATGGTTAAATCAAACTTGTATGGATGTCTGAAATGAGCATACTCAAACTGAAGGAAAGAGTGGAATTTCAACCACTGGTCCCCCTCTTGAAACAAATTAACATGTGAAGCTCTGCGCAGAAGATCTAATCTGGTTCAGCACATGGAAATCAGGAACAGAGCTAATGGGTATGATCCCATCCCAATCTTCATGGCATGATTATCCTTCACTGGTTGCTTGCACTTGTTATTATCAGAGTAGAGTATAGTATAGTGATTTAGATCATGTTGGATGAGGACTTCAGAGATGCTGATTCAGAAGATACAGTGAAGGGCTGAACAAGACTGGAAAAAGAGTGAAGATTACATTGATAATAGGCTTTTAGAACGACAATGGCCCAATTAATTATCTGTGAACTATCAAAGGTTTGGACTGAGGTATCATGTCAAGGTGGATACTGTTAGTTACAGCTACGCCAGACTAGAAAAATCTGGAGTATTAAAATATACATTGTATGCTAAGAATCTTTAGTCCTTATTTAATTCCTTCAGTGTACAGTAGAATCTGTATAATTCATTTTGAGGTCTGCTTTTAATTTTCCTCTGTAATTCCTGTTCTCCACAGTTGTTACTCTGAGATATGTAAGTGTCCCTAGGAAGTTCAAGTGTTCTGAAACTGATTTTTGTCTCTTGCAATTTCTGATGTCAGACTTGTATCCATTCATTTTCCTTTTCTGTATATAGAATGCAGAGGTGCACTGCTGGAGGATGATGCAGATGATGGAAATTGGAAGTGCAGTGCTCTTGTTTTCTGTCTTTGTTTCATTTTTACTTATTTTGTATTATTTGGTGGTTTGGAGCTTCCGGGGGATGTTTTATATTATAGTGCCTTATGTGCACCACTGTAGTCTAGAAAATGGCATATCTGCACTAGTAGTTCTTTTAAGTCACAGGCAGTTGCAATATGAATTGGGAACCATGCTGCCTTTTAAAAAAAATACATACATGGTTTTACTTTAAAGAAAAGTATGAATCACAATGGAAAGTAGCATTATTGAGCTCTTTACATTATTTTTAGGGCATAATATGTTATTTTAAACACCATGTGCATAGAGAAGCAACAAGAATTATAAATTGCCAATAGTTGTAGGACTGTGTCTCTTCACAAGTATTAGCAGAATTAAGGACAAGGTGTTTTTCCACTGGTTCTGTTAAAATCCATGCCACAGTGTACTGGCACGGCTAAGGAGTTATTCATGAGGGGCTGAATCTAATCACACAAATACAAAAAATTCTATGTTGCACACTCGTTTCTCATGCATTCCCCTCTCAGCTGAGACAAATTTGTTTGCCATTTATATTTTGCTCTGATTTTTGCTGGAATGTCAGTAAAGCAAAAAATCATGAGTAAGAGTAGTACATATTAGGGGCAAAACAGCAGGGCTTAAGAGGTAATGGAAATAGAGGTAATAAAAATTGGTTCCCAGTTATTACAAGACTCACCCAACTCTCAGATGTTACCAGCATGCTTTTAGCAACTTCCATTATTAACAGTTCTCAGATTTTTATAAGATCTCTTTGTTTTTTGCAGAGAGTTTCATGTGCACAGACACCTGCAGCATGACTCTCCTGCTTTATAGAAGTGTGGTTGAAGGCTTGGACAGCGGAAGCATTAGCCTTAAGAGGGCTAAATCCAGATCTCTTGTTGACGCAGGCAGTGCAGATGGAGAATTAAAATTCCTCAAGCCCTTAAGCAAGCTCTGGAAAAGGAACTGTGAAAAGATGGCTTGTCACTGATTAGGTGATAAGCTGCTAATAGAGCTAAGTGGATTTTAATGGATGAAATAGATAGGTCACTACCTTTTAGGTGTAACATCAACAAGGATCCTAAGAGGAAGGACAAACAAGCTAACTAGAGTGAATATTTCAACTCATCTTTTTATTCACTATTTATTTGCTCTTTACCTTCTGTCCATTCCCAAGTTGTTTCTTCCACTGAGTAGTCTCCTCCCACTGGCAGTACCGACCAGGGCTTCAGAGTATTTTCCACTATTCGGCATTCTCTTCCTTCTTGACCACTTAATCTGTTCTCATGGTCTTGTTCATTTTCCCAAACTTCACAAATTAAACCTCAACTGTATTTAAACCAGTTTGACACACCAAACTATGTCTCTACCTCTTTTGTATACCTACCACACAAGTGAGTCATACCATGTGAACATCAGGATGTTGGAAAACCTGCCTCAAAACAAGACTGAATCTTGTAGCTTCCTCAATTCCTTTCTCACCTTTTATCTGGTGATGATAAAAATGAGATTTTTAAAAATTTTAATGGGATTTTATTTATATTTGTCAAGTTTTTGTTTACAACCCCAGGTGACAATAGCTTTAATTTAAAATGTGTTATAGTTCAAAGATATCATTATGGAATAAGGAATATAAATTTCAATTCTACATTATAAGATTCCATGGGGTTTTTGTACAGATTATTGAGGTTAAGGTTTCCATTTCCCCATCTACTCAGACAGGTATATACAATCAAAAGTTTTATACCTCTCAAACTGGGTTTGTCTGCAGAGATACAGCTTGGCTAATTAAAAGACGCTGACTTGATCACCTGTATTTTCCAATTCTGACTAAATAATACCTGGACTTTTCTTTTTCCCTTAACATGACATAATACTGAAGAGACACGAATAAGCCCTCCATTTTAGTTAACTGCTCTACAGTACTGTTATCAAGGCACCTGGAACAAATGCCTTTGCTCTCTCCATGCATATTTCTATAGAATATAAAGATAAACACAAGGTTCACTTTTTTGGCCAAGAACCAATATAATATACATATATATGAGTGTATCTTTTAAACCCCACTTGACAAGGTCATTGCAGCACTTCAAATATAGTACTCTCTATAGTTGAAAAATGTTTATTTTCAGTCATATTAAAAAACACAAACATAGAACTCTTCATAGGAACCAACCAAAAAAATTTCAAACAACATTCATACTCAAAATTTGGGACTTTGGTAAATCCATTGATAAATCAGTTCTACGCCTTGTGAGCAGGTTTTTCTACAGTGGAGGCAACACAGGTGTTCTATACCACTATACACATATACAAAATTTTTTAGAATCTACAGCCATGCATAGGCTCTAAGCAGTTCCCTAAATTTGGCAGCAAAAGTCCAAGGCAAGTCTCAGAAGTCCTGCTGGATGTTTTCTTTGTTTGCCTCCCCATGTTGCTGCTTAATTTGAGAAATTTCATTTTCCAGTTGCACAATTGTTCGTTCAATCTCATAATTTTTACTGACGAGGGATACCCATCTGGAAAAAAGGAAAAGCACACCTTAAACTACTGTTTAGTTCCTTTAGAACTACTCTATTCATAAAAGAACTTCCAGAAAGGAATTCTTTTATACAACATGGCTGCATGAAAGGACAATGATCCATTAGATGCTATGCAATGTCAGTAATGTGGCACAGCAAAGGGGTAAAAGAACAGAATGCACAGAAGGGCTGGGGAGGAAGCAACTCATAGAGGGTGGCCAAGGCAGATGGCTCACTTGAATAACTTGACTATACACACTAAACGCTGTTCCAATACAGTACCTCTATTCAGAGCAAGTTACCATAGTCTCTTGAGACTGAAGGATGCCTACACACAAAGGAATGAAGGAGGAAGCTAGAGGGATGGCAGAAGATGATGGTTTCAACACTATGATGAACTGAGGTAGAAAAGCATGCAGAAACCATTGCTTATGTCTGCAAAAAGTGGTATCCCATTTTTCATTCTCATGCTAAATTTATACTTGTATGGGTCTTTCTGCACACATGTCTATCTGCATGTTTCTCACTAAGTTGCAAAAACTATGTTCTTGTTTTTAAAGTAAAAGGTAAAGGTTCCCCTTGACATTTTAGTCAGTCGTGTTCGACTCTAGGGGGTGGTGCTCATCCCCGTTTCCAAGCCGTAGAGCCAGCGTTTGTCCGAAGACAGTTTCTGTTGTCACGTGGCCAGCACGGCTATACAGTGGTGCCTTGCTTAGTGAGTGCACCGTATAGCGATGTTTCCGTATAGCGATCCCTTTTTCGGGATCGCTATACGGAAACATACCCGATCTTCGCAATGGGGAAAACCCGCATTGCGAAGATCGGGTATTGCGGCGGCCA